GTAAAAAAAAAAAAAAAAAAATCACAATTATGAATAAAACTTCGCCGACTCCAGCGTGTTTATTGGGACTTTTTATTTATGTGAATGCTGTGTTTTCGAAAAGTTGTATTCATCTATCTCTAGTTTTTTTTTTTATTAAGGCGGATGATGTGGTACACTAAGCTACTTTTTGTACCTTTTGAGATTCCGTAGCATGTGTTTCATTACAGAGGAGCATTTGAGAAGGGTCTAGCTGTAGTATTATTGAGAGAGCTTTTGCTAGACTTTTTTTCTAACTACGAAAATGACTATATTTTATTGTTTTCTGAGGAGAACAATTAAAATGTTGAGGAAGAAGCAGATTGAAGCATCAACACTGTGACATTGCTACGTGACATAAGTGGTGTGATGTTATCAGGCAGTTGCCATGAAAGTCAGTCAAACCAGTGAGTGAAGGTAACTAGACACAGGATTTATTTATAGACATCAGTACCAGCACTTGACATGGTTTGTGTGTGTGTGGTTAGGTACAGATGTTCTGTTCAAACCAGTGGGACCCAACACATTGTGAAGGTTATGATTGACCAGGCTAGGCTATCCAGGCACAATTTACCTATTTATTTTTTTTCTTTGACATTAAACCATTGCAATATAAACATAATCTTTCAGCACCAGTATAAGTTCATTTCCACCAGTCCTTACACAGCATGTTATTTGTTGGTTATTAAATGTAGCCTAAATATTTGGATAAATAAAAAGTTGATCTTATTTTCATGCGTTTACATTGTAAAACAAAGTAACCTGATAGAAAATATGGGGGTTATATAAAAAAAAGAATGATCTCATAATAATCTGTGCTAAAGCAACAAAATGCCTGATGTGATTTCCATCCATTGGCTTTTATTTCAGCAGCAAGTCATTTTGAATACCTCAATACATCTCATTGGAACTTAATACACTTAGATTCAGTCAAAAATATAATCACAAGTATAGTCCTATTTAGAAACCAGTGGTTCCCAAACTTTTTATCTTCTGACCCACAAAATATCCATGGCAAAAACTTGTGACCCCAAATATTTCTGATCTGAGTACATGGACTTCGTTAATAACCCTAAAAACGCAGGCTTTTTGACAATCTAAACAGCTTATACACAAATATAAATACTTTTTTTTACTTATTTTGTGTTTTTGTAATAAATATAGGGAAAATATTACATCAGCAATTATTTTATTACCCTTTAAATTGATTTCTGGAGATTATCTAAGGTGCTTCATGACCCATAATTGGGTCCCAAGCCCAACTTTGGGAACCAAAGTGCAGTGGTTCCCAAACTTTTCAGCTTTTGACCCACAAAATAACAGTAGCAGAGACCTGTGCTCCCAAACTATTTTTGAATGATAAACATTTGTATCAGGTCAACAAAACATGGGCATAGTAACAATATTTTTATGCTACATTTATCCATTTTAAATATACCAACCTCATTCCTTTGTAACAACTAAGGCAAAAATGTAATTAATTTAGAAAATATTATCAGGACCCCACCTTGATGTTTCGAGACCCCACTTTGGGTCCTGACCCCAACTTTGGGAAACACTGATCTAAACAGCCCTTGATGATAACTATGATATGATAGTTATCTTATTGAACGTTTGCAGCTGTTTCAGACTTTCCTGGTCTTTTTTTATAAATCTAATTCAGAGATATACTAGCTACAGATGTAAAAAGTACTTTTTTGTGAATTATTTTGTCTTTTATTTTGCATTTGTATAAAAGAAATACAGGAAAGCTGAAAATAAACAAAAAAAGTATTAATAGTGTTTCTTTTCTGTGACGTGTTTTTAAAGAAAAACAAATCATAATTATTAACTTCAATAGGCTTCGAGCCAAATTAAAAGGCTTTGGCTCTGGTGATGCCTCTGAGGGGGGAGGCCTGGGGAGGGATGATGTGGGAGGGAATAGTGCCGAGTTTAGCACTTTGCAACCTGATCCGCGGAGAGGCCGGGCTCTGCGGTGCTGCTGCATCCTGCCTCCCCGCACCACATGGAGACCGGATAGAGCCTTCACAGATCAGGGAGGTGGGTGACAAAGACACAAGAAGGTGGACCATCCTGCTCATTTGAACCCCCCCTGCGCAGCATCAGCAGCTCCAGACCTGATCGGAGACATGAGGGTGACGGGAAGCGCAGCAGCCGGGCTTTGCTCCTGTTATTGCGGTCTGCGTCAAACCTCCTCCAGATGAAGCCCTCTGTGACGGGTCTTTTTCGGGTTGTTTTTCTTGGCAGGGGGCCCGTGTTAGTGAACATCCAGCAGTGACAGTGATGGTCCGCGCAGGGGCTCACGGCATCCGCATTGTGAGGAGAAACGTTTGAAGGAATATGCGGAGATAAAAAAAACAAAACAAAAAAAAGAGGTCAAGTTGTTGCCTTCAGAGCAGCCAGAGCCGGATTTGTTGTTTTGTTGTTGTTTACCAACATGAGTTCGCTGTTTTTCTCCGACTCCCTGGCCGGGCCGGTCTGCAGCGGCGTCCCCGCCGGGTCGGGCGCGGTGACCAGCGCCCTGCGCAACGACCTGGGCTCCAACATCCACGTGCTGAAAACCCTCAACCTGCGCTTCCGCTGCTTCCTCGCCAAGGTGCACGAGCTGGAGCGGAGGAACAAGCTGCTGGAGAGCCAGCTGCAGCAAGCCCTGCAGCGGCCGCAGTGCCGACACCCGTTCGGCCGGGAGGTGGCCGTGCAGACGGACGGACCCGAGTCCAGGCTGCCGGGCACCATCTGGAGCTTCACGCATGTCCGGAGGCAAGGGGAGCGCTTGGAGACCCTGCACGGGCCCGGGGTGACGTGGACGCACCCGGACGGAGTCGGGGTCCAGATWGACACCATCACCCCAGAAGTGAGGGCTCTGTACAACGTGCTGGCTAAGGTCAAGAGAGAGAGGGACGAGTACAAGAGA